GTGAGGAGCTGTCTGTGGTGCTGAACTCAAGGCCGGCAGCAGAGAGCTGAAGGTTAGAGGCAGGGGTACGTGAGCTACGCTTCCGCTGTATGCTTTATGGTGGGTGGACCTGCCATCTAACTAAGCTTTCCGTTTCTTAGGCCACTTACTAGCTGTGCGGGGTGGGAAGACAGTTGTTCCACCTTGCCCAAACCTCTAAGTTCAAAGTCTGGATCCCAGCTGAAGGGTTTGGACTGTAGCAGTCCCCACTGGCTTCAGAACACTCGCAAAGCACTGTGTCCCTGTCAGTGGTCACGCTTCTTCCTTAGTTTTAGAAACTTTTTTTTTTTTGCGGTACCAGGGTTTGAACTCAAGACCCTGTGCTTGCGAAGCAAGTGCTTTTCTACTGAGCTATCTCCCTGGTCCTCTTCCTTAGTTTAACTGGCTGGCTCAAGAGGTATCCTCTTGTGACCACCTCCCTGCAGACCCACCCTCCACAATGGACACCCAAACACCACACTGCTGCACTATCCAGATACCTCCCAGAAAGGACAGGGTCAGTGGAGGGTTTGTGAGAGCAGGAAGGTTTGGATCGGAAGGCATTTGGGCATGTTCTACTTTGAAGATGGATCTGTAAGTGAAAGTTCAGGGGCACTAAGGGGACAACTGCTGCTCTAACAGGATTAGGAAGGAAAGAGAGGAGTAAGATTCCGGGACACTGAGAACAGATAAGCTTTTGATTCTGAACATGATTTGGGTGTGGAGAGTTCTCATGTGCCGCAGAAGCCCTCTCTGGTTCCTCGGCACCCATGAGATCAAATGTAGGCTTCTTTCCTCTCGTTCAAGCTCCCCAGCCTCGGGACTCAGCCCAGACTCCCATAGCCCACAGCATGCAGCACCATAACCTGATTGCAGTTCACCTGCCCGCTGGATATTTCCACATCCCTTCTTGTCTCATCCTAGACCCTTAGCGCAAAATATCCCAGCCCTTTCCACGTATGTTCAAATACAACCCTGATTCAAAGTCACCTCTAAAACCATGTTGCTGGTTTTCCTCTCTCTGGGAAAAAAGAAGACTCTTTTTGTTTTATTTATTTTTTTAAGACAGGGTCTCACTGTGGAGCGGCCTTGAGTCAGCCTTGAGCTCACTATGTAGCCCAGGCTGGCCTTGCAATCACAGTGATCCTCCTGCCTCAGCCTCCCGAGTTCTGGGATTAGAGGTGGGCCCTGGGGTGCCCAATTAGGAAGACTCTTCTCTTCAGAGCATGGACAATGTCTTCTCTACTTTTCGTGGCTGTCAATTTTCTTTTTATTTCAATCCAAGAAACAACTTTTAAGAAAAAAATGTTAGCCACATCTGGGCAACTTAGCAAGAACTCACGTCAAAAATATAAAGTAGGGCCTGGGATAGAGCTCAGTAGCACAAATGCCTGCCTGGCAAGCACAAAGTCCTGAATTCAATCCCTGGTACAAAAAAAAATTTTTAAAAACAAATAAAATGTAAAAAGAAAAGGGGGGGGTGGCCAGGGAGATGGCTCAGTAGAACAAGTGCTTGCCTGACAAGCACAAGGGCCTGAGTTCAATCCCTGGTTCCAAAAAAAAAAAAAAAAAAATGTTGAAAAAGGAGGCTGGGGTATAGCTCAGTGCAGAAGATCTGTGTTAAATCCACAGTACCTCAAAAACTTGTTTTTATAGTTATGTAATATAACAAAAATCTTTGCAACAGTATTTATGGAAAACAATATTCAGAAGCTGTGTCCTAGCAGAGTGAAAAAAGTCTAGTATTTTCCCAAGTTACCTGATTTTATACATAGTGTGACCTCTGTGCCTCATTATTATATCTATAATAGGGAACTATTAATGCTGGTCCCTGTGTTACACGCTGGGCTGGAGCTGGAACTGGCCTGACATGGGAGTGGGGGTACAAAACAGGGACATCTTGGCATCATCACCAAGGGTTTCCTGATGCCACCCCAGATTCCTTCTATGGCTCAGAAACAGGAGGGGCTGTGGAAGCACCCAGATCTCAGCGCAGGCCTACAAATTAGGAAACTTCAGAAATACTCTAAGCTCTCCCAGTTGTCACTCACTGGCAGTGTGACCCCAGACAAGCCACAAGTTCCTGTTGTTACAGGCTCATGCTGCATACTGTATGACTAAACCAGATAAAGGCATAGCGCTCAGGCTACTGCCTGGCACCTGATTAGCAATTATCATCAGAGATACCATACCACTTTGTGCTGGCACCAGGAGGTGTTGAAGGGGTGGCTCCAGGCCTGCCTCGTCTCTGATCCTACCCCCAACCATGGCCTGGCAAGCCAGCCGAGTGCATGAGCAGGAGAAGGTAGACCCTTTGTCTGGATTCCCTCTTCTGTCTGGACCCATCCATCTGTCAATTGGCCATTATGCTCCCAGCTAATGGGAAACAGAAGCAGTTAATTAACACAATTGCTGGCATGAGGAAGAGCAGTCTTTATCAGGGTCGAGGCTCTGCCATGGTGGCAGGTCCAACCTGTGTCCTACAAGGGCTTCATGTTCCACCTCAATAAGTCCTTTGTTCCTCTGCAGCAGTCTGTGCCTCCTTCAGTCAGCACTGCGGGGCTCGATTTGTGTCAAGATGGGGTGATACCTCCCCTACCAAGTCCGCAGAAATGATGAAGAGCCACTGAGGTATCAAGCATGAACTTAAAAGTATAAAATGTTAAACAAATCTAAACTCAGCACACTGCCAATAGCATCTACAGAGTACACAAGGGGCCGAGGGATGTGGTCTGCTGTAAAATGCTTTCTGGCATACATGACACCCTGAGGTACATCCCCAGCACTGCAAAACAGTAAAAAATTACAATAGAGAAGGGGCAACTCGGCTAATGTCTGCAGCAGGCAGGTCCAGCCAGTAAATTCAAGGGCTGTCTTGTTCGCCTGGAAATTGTTAAAGCCTGCTGCGTAGCTGAACTTACATAGCCTGCTCAGAGGCCCCAGTGCACGAGGGGCTGTGCCTGTCCATCACTGGGCCTCAGTTTTCTCATCTATAAAATGAAGGTAGCAGTTTCTCTAAAGCAGGAAGTGCTATTAATGGGATAGTGGGTTGCAGAGAGCCATTTATGCATTAGAGAGGCGTGGTGGTGCATGCCTGTAATCCCAGCACTGTCGAGGCTGAAAAGGATCACTGTGAGTCCAAGCTGTGTAGTGAGACCCTGTACCAAATACAAAAGAAAGGGCTGGTGAGATGGCTCAGTGGTCTAAAGCACCTACTTAGAACAAGCTCAGCAAAGCATAGGGACCACGGTTCAATCCCCCAGCACCACATGCCAGCCAGCCCCGCCCGCCCTCTGGTGGGCTGAGCTGGCCACACA